ACACACACAATACGGTTAATATAAATATCTATTTCTACAACTAATTCCTGTCTAGTAACGTACTCCAAGCTCGTCATCGTTTGAATGCACTCAGCAAGTATGTCATTTATCGTAGGGAAAAACTACACGTTATCTTAACGCTCGGCAAGGATTTCTTTGTAATCTACGTGGATTGATAGCTTGGCTGGATAAATAGTTCATCGTTGTAATTTTTTTCTACCCAGATGAAAGATTTTTTCCTTTAAATTTAAACATGTTTAAGATTTAAAAAATGTGTTAATTTGACAGTCAACAGGTAGTGAAAGGATAGTAGAGGAAATAGTTATATTATCTGTGCCAACAGGAGCAATGAGTTCTCTTCGTCTCGTTTGATTTTGTTTTTCTCAACGACTAGATGCACAATACATAAATCACAGAGATGGACCCCATCAGTTAAATACAGTTTGTGACAAGTCGGGACTGACGTCCTCCTCGTAACTGCGCCCTCCTCGTCACTGCGCCCTCATCGTAACAGCGCCCTCGACGTTACAGCGCTTCGTCGTAACGGCGCCCTAATCATAACAGTGCCCTCCTCGTAACAGCGCCCTCCTCATAACAGCGCCCTCCTCATAACAGCGCCCTCCTCATAACAGCGCCCTCCTCATAACAGCGCCCTCCTCATAACAGCGCCCTCCTCATAACTGCGCCCTCCTCACAACAGCGCACTCCTCATAACAGCGCCCTCCTCATAACAGCGCCCTCCTTGTAAGATCCGTTCTGTAACTTACGTCAACAGCTGGCGCTCTCCGATCTCGGGAAATGAAAACTCGAATGATTGAGATAACAACCGATAACACAATCAGCCACCATTATCATCTTAAGGTATTAGCCAACCTTTGGCGGACGATGATATGAGGCTAGATTAGTTTTACTAGCTGCATCATTTTAAGCTTAAAAGGGTTTGCTGATGGTGAGCGGAAAAAAAGTCACATGAAAAAAAAATGAAAGGTAAAAAAGATAACAGCAAAAAGTCAAAAGAAAAAAGTCACAGACGTACATAACTTGGCTAGTATACTAAACCTAGGTTCTAGGGAAAACTTCATGCTTCGAGAACGCCCCTCAAGTTGCAAGTGAGCAGCTCTGCTTTCACCAGATTTACGTTTTATCCTCTACAACTATTACATCACAGCTCATAAATGAGTCGTCCTCCCCATGTTGTTGTTGTTCTTGGTTCTTTCTTTTGGTGGCATTTTTGGACCAATGATCCTTATTTATACTCTCTTCGCCTCCCCACTCCACAATTATCTAATATGCCAACTTCTCTTATCAAAATCTACCGCCACATTTTCTCCTTTTATTATTTTTATTTGATTTAGTTTTCTCTAACTATTATATACATGCCGAGGATCAAAACAGGGCGGAAACAGCTGCAAAAAGAGCGAGGAGGAAGGCCGGTAAATACTGCTCCACCGCATTCGTGTGTGGGAAATGTAACAGAGACTGCCATTCGAGGATTGTTCTCACCAGCCACACCAAGAGCTGCAAGCAATAAAGATAATCTATCGTCTCCCGCAGACGGAAAGATGACATACATACATACATATACATATATATATTTGTCCAATAACTATATATAATTTGTCCAATTATCTATGGGTCTAACTTCTCTTGTCAAAATTTACCGCCATATTTTGTTACCTCTGCTTTTATTATTTTTATTTGATTTAGTTTTCTCTAACTTCTATAATCGAAATTTCAGTAAATATATATATATGTGTCCAATAGCTGTAAGAATGTGAGCATCTTTCTAATGTCTGCTTATTGGGTGATTTCTATTCTTCTACTTACAGATTCAAAGACACAAATGTTGAGTTTGTGTAATAAGTTCAGCTTTATTTAAGACATAGAAAACAATGAATGTGTCTTATCTCACAGGATTAGTCAGTAAGTTTAACACACGCAAACTCACACGCATATATATATATGTGTGTATGTGGATTACCCAAGGGACCATGACAACTTGTGTGGATGATACACCTTGGCACCAGGCACTAGTAGCGTCCCGCTATTTTCATTGTGTCAATATACATAAATAAATATATATACATAATATATATATATATATATATATATATATATATATATATATATATATGTGTGTGTGTGTGTGTGTGTGAGTGCGTGTGTGTGTGTGTATATAATATTATATATGTATGTGTGAAGAGAGAGATATATATTTATATCTATATATATATATAAAAATATATATATATAATATATATATATATATATATATATATATATATATATATATATATGTGTGTGTGTGTGTGTAAGTGAGTGCCCGTGTGTGTGTGTATATAATATTATATATGCATGTATGAAGAGATCGACAAATATTTTCATCTATACAACGTAATGCAACACTTCTAAAGACACAGTTATGCATGCAAATGAGAATTAAAATGATTTGACAAAATAACGTTTCACTAATTTGTTAAGTGACACCGTTGAATCCCAGGAAGAAAGCAATGAAACCTTAAACCACCAGTGTGTTCACAATAGCTGCACTAACCAAATACGCTGACAGTGTTGATACAGCTGCACTAACCAAATACGATGACAGTGTTGATACAGCTGAAATAACCAAATACGATGACATTGTTGATACAGCTGCACTAACCAAATACGATGACAGGGTTTATACAGCTGAAATAACCAAATGCGAAGACAGTTTTGATATAGCTGAAATAACTGTATATGATGACAGTGTTGATACAGCTGAAAAAACTAAATACGAAGACAATGTTGATACAGCTGAAATAACTGTATAATATAATGACAGGTTTGATACAGATGCAATAACTAAACTAAATACGAAGACAGTGTTGATGCAGCTGAAATAACTGTATAATATAATGACAGTTTTGATACAGATGCAATAACTAAACTAAATACGAAGACAATGTTGATACAGCTGAAATAACTGTATAATATAATGACAGTTTTGATACAGATGCAATAACTAAACTAAATACGAAGACAGTGTTGATACAGCTGAAATAACTGTATAATATAATGACAGTTTTGATACAGATGCAATAACTAAACTAAATACGAAGACAATGTTGATACAGCTGAAATAACTGTATAATATAATGACAGTTTTGATACAGATGCAATAACTAAACTAAATTATACGAAGACAGTGTTGATACAGCTGAAATAACTATATAATATAATGACAGTTTTGATACAGATGCAATAACTAAACTAAATACGAAGACAATGTTGATACAGCTGAAATAACCAAAAACGATGACCTTGTTGATACAGCTGAAATAACTATATGATATGATGAAAGTGTTGACACAGATGAAATAACTATACATGATGACAGTTTTGTTAACAGCAGCACTATCTATAAACACTGACTTATAAAATATGCGATAGCTAAACACATTGACAGTGTTTATAAAAGCTACAATAGCTAAACACATTGACAGTGTTTATAAAAGCTACAATAGCTAAACACATTGACAGTGTTTATAAAAGCTACCACAACTAAACACACCGACCAATAGAGCACGTCGTGGATTTGTTATGTTTTTTTTTTTGTTTAGTTTTTTTGCACTGCATGGTTCTTAAACTTTAGTAAACTGAATACCCCAAATTATAAAATGTAATTTCTTATGGCCTACCTCTTAGTATGCACAAAGTTTAAATCTTACATGTATATTTCTAGACACCAATATATCACTTAATGAACATCAGGTGTCCAAGATATTAACTTTAAGAACCAATGTTTTATGTGTAAATTAACAGTCCCTAACCAGGGGCGTCATTTCAGTTTTTTTTTTTTTTGGGGGGGGGGGGGGTAAAATCAAAAATTTGGTCAGCTTGTTAGTTGTTTATTAGTGGAGACGCCACAGTACATAGCAATTGAAATAAATCCTGCAAATTCAAAAAAGGTGGGGGGGGGGACAAATGCCCCACCCTGCCCTCCTCAAAGGACACCCCTGTCCTTAACTTACAACATTGACTTCCAGCAAATGCTCTTTGCAATGACAACGATGTGAATTAAACCACTGAACATGAGGACGAAACACAAAACTGTTAGTCACGTGACCTAGTATCGCTTCTATAAATACTCGAAAACATGTCTACGCGTTGATTGCCTCGCTTGAATTAACGTCTATAAAACCTGTCAAGAAATGAAGGCTCCTGGCCAAGAACATTCTGCCTTTTTTTTTTGTCCCGTCTCTCTATCTCAAGCTTCCACATACCACCCACCACATACCACCCACCACCCACCACCCCACCACATACCACCCATCACATACCACCCACCACATACCACCCACCACCTACCACCCACCACATACCACCCACCACATACCACCCACCACATACCACCTACCACCCACCACCTACCACCCACCACATACCACCCACCACC